AGGCCGCCCTCTTTCCCCTGTGAGCTGCTCTGCGTTTCCCCTTCCACACGGCAGGTCCAGGTCGCCGCTCGCTCCCCTCCCGCTCCGTGGACGCTGGCCACTCCCCTGCCTCCTGCACACCTGAATCTCCATGGAAATGCCACTGTGTTTGCCCCAGGCCCTCCTCTAGTCAGGACCACCTTTCCTCTGAGTAGTGGGACATGTCCCCAGCCAGAGCCCGCCTCGTTTCCTCCCAAGAAGAGCGAGCAGAGTGGCCCAGCCCAGGCAGGGCGCCCCCGTGGCACTGTTTCCCATCCTCCTCCGTCACTGCCCACAGAGAAGGGACTGGGCCGGGCCCTGCACATGCGCCCTGCCTCTGCCGGCTCAGCGGGCCTCCCGGGCACGCCTGCTCCCCTTCGCCCCTCTATTCCAGAAAGGGCCTCGTGTGGCTGCCTCTGGAAGGGCCAGGCTTGGTGGTACTCATGGCTCGGGCTCCCTCCCCGGACTGCGTGTCGCCTTCGGCACTTGACGTCTCAGCACTTTAGAAGGCATGGTGGGGCAGCCGCCTTCTTCACCCTCTCTCTGTCGCTCAGCTAAGAGCCCAGGCCCCAGGGCCCAGAAGGACCTTCAGGCTCCCAGCTGGGGCGAGCTGGTGCCGGAGGCAGCCAGGGCAGCAGGCAGCCCGGCCATGGCCGTGTGGACGCCCTCCCTGAGCATCCCCGGCACACGCTGCACGCTCACACCCACTGCACACGCGGCCCTGTCTGTGCAGGGGTTTGCACGGGAGGCGTCATCTGTGAGCGCGCCATGCCTGGGCTGTGGGCTGGCCTGTGGTAGCTCATCGCTCTACCTCCAGGACCCAGCAGCAGACAGCCCTGCGGCGCGCTGGCGGTTCCAGATGCCTGGGAGGGCCGGCGCGACACCAGGCTCCACCCTGTGCCCCATACGGCTCAGCCTGTCCTGACAGCCTGAACGCCCACCACGGACGTCCCCCAGCCACCTGCGCCCTCCTCCCTGGCTGACCTGGAGGGCAGGCTCGGGGCACACCGGTCCCGTTCTGTGTCCTCGCCGGTGTCTCTGGGCTGTGGGTGATGGGCTCAGGCTCTACTCAAGCCCACGGCTGGGCAGCCCGGCCAGGTGCAGGGTGGGCATGTCTTCCTGGCTTTCCCCATGCAGTGCCTAGGTCACCACACGTCCCCACCCATGGCGTGGGACTCCTTGCCACTCAGCAGACTGGTCACCAGAGTGCCAGTGAGAAGAGAGGTGGGACTGCAATGAGGACTGTGTGAACGCCAGCAGGAGAGGTCCCAGGGAGAGTGGGCGCCGCCAGCCCGGACCCTGCACCCAGTCACACCCAGGCTCCTCCTATTCCTCAGGGGCCGCCCAGGAGGTCCCTCCCAGAGCTTGACCAGCCTGCGTCCAACCTGCCCTCTGCACCTCAGCTGCGGAGCTGGGATGGCCCAGGGGTGCGCAGAGACCCACCCTCGGCCGTCTGGAGGGGTTGTATGTGATGGCCAAGGCCAGACTGGTGGGTGGTGGGCAGTGGCTGCCAGAGCCCCAGTGCGGGCCGACTGGCTGCCTCGTGCATGGGAAGGTCGCAGGGCCAGGAGCGAGGCTCAGAGAGGAAGAGGAGGGCTCTGCAGTGAGCCGAGCCAAGACAGGGCCCTGCCGGGAGCCCCCAGTGGAGCTGTTCCTGACACTCCCAGCCGGGCACCCCAGGTGTCAGTGTCAGCCAGGAGAGGCCCTGTGGGGCCACTGGCCATGCAGACAAGTGTCACCTGCCCTCCCAGCCCAAGCCATCCATCTGGGGGCTTCTAAGCACCTCCTGTCCAGGGGCGGCCCACCCCTGCCTGTAGGCAGGGTGATGCGCGCCAGAGGCCGGCGCAGGGAGTCCGGACAGCCCAGGTCTGCGGGAGGCGTTCCGCTGGGCCTCAGGAGCGCAGCTCCGGCCACCCAGCCAGGGACAGGGACAGCCCTGGTGCAGAACCAGGGCGCGCAGTGTTAGAAATCAGACACAGTATGTACTTAATCACACTAAGTTATTGCTGGGACTCCTCGTAAGCACTAATTATACCTGGTTATAGGTTAAAATATTTATTTTGTCAAAATACTTTCTCGGGATGCGTCTGCCCTCTTCCGTGTCCTGTGTGTGTGAGCCGAGGGAACCGGCCACTTCCTCCTGCCTGCCTTTGTGGCCCCTGGGCAGCCCTGCGTGGTGTCAGGTGTAGTCGGACCTGGGCACGGGGCCATGAGCTGGCCTGCCACAGTGGACCTGCTGGCACCCCTGGGTGGAGCAGCCAGACCGGCCAAGCTGGGGGAGTGGCCGGCTCGCTCACCGTGGGCGTGGGGCGGGCTCTGGGAGTGCGAAGGGCTTCTTGCTGCTGGCCCAGAGGGAAGGGTGACCGTCTGTCCTGTCTGCTGGCCCTCAGTGTGAGTGACGGTGCCTTGGCTCACTGCCCTCCCCTCGTGCCCGTGGTCTAAGGGCTGGGCTGTCTCTACTCAGGAGGAAGGGACCCTTCCCCCCAGCTGGGCCTGCCCGACCTAAGTGGCAGTGAGTCAGAAGCAGACACTGCTCGGTGCCCTCGCCCCTTCCCCATCTCCTCCTCCCTGCCTCCCCCACTCTGTGCTCCTCAGTGGGGCCAGGCCTCTGAGTGGCATGGGTGGGTCCTGGGCCTCCTGGCCAGGCCAGCCCCGGGCAGCTCAGGAAGGGTGACATGGAGGGGCCCGCCTCAGCCCCTGGCCCTGCCAGCCTGGCCCACGCCCTCTCCGCGGCTGCCCTCGGGAAGTCTGGCTCTGCTCCCAGTTCCCCCGCGGGGGCTCACGGTCAGCCTCCCCCTCCTAGGCCTCCCTGTGGGGTCTGGCAGGGTCTCCGGGACTCCACCAACCCAGCCCCAGGAACAGCCTCACACTTGCTTCTCTGGAGTACGAACCCCCAGGCGCTCCTGGAGGGTGGGTATTTATTTCCTGAAGTGTGCACTTCGTTTGTGAGGGCTCTCCAGGCCGCGGGGGCCACTGGAGAGAGGACTGTGTCGCGCTCTCGTCCACTCGTCCCGGGAGTCGGGCTCTTGTCACTGTCGTGTGTTTAGGTGGGCAGAGCTGGTTCTGGGGGCTGTGCGTGCACGCGAGGCTGGAGCGTCCACCCCCGCTCCCCGCCAGATGCCTCTCTAGTTTGGGTTCCTGCATGTCAAATACCCCCCAATAAACGAGTACTGAACAAGCCTGCCCTGTGAGCTCTTGGGACCGCAGGCCCGCCAGGCCTCACCGCCTGCTTTCTTCACACAGGGGCTGCTGCAGGCTTCCTGCTGGAGGCAGCAGCCAGGGGCCCCTTCCTGACCCGCAGGACAGTCCCTGCGCCTGGCCCAGGTTGGGACGGCGGCTGCAGTCTCATCCCGGGTCCGGGCAAGCAGGGGAGGCTGCTCTCCTTGCCTGGAGCACCCAAAGCACACAGCCTCTCCTGAGTCCAACCGAGGGGCTCAGCACTCCGGAGTGTGCCTCGTCAATACCCGAGCAGTCTCGGAAATGCGGCGTCCGCCAGGGCCCAGCCCACTGTCCCTTTATTCCTGCTCAGGGAGGGCTCCACCTGAGCCCAGAACCCTCCCACGTGGGGTCGTTTTCCTGCTGTGCCACCACCTGGCCCTCCCCACTCCGGGCCTGCAGGCGGCCCCTCAGCACTGCGCTGTCCCAGAGCAGGCGGCTCAGCAGGCCAGACCGACGGGGTCCTGAGGGGGACCGGGGACCTGAGGCCTGCGGTACCGTGCCGCACTGGCTCTGCCCCCAGTTCTCCCACGGGGGCTCACGGTCAGTCTCCCCCACCCGCCAGGAGTGTGTGGCCCCCTCCTAGGCCTCCCTGTGGGGTCTGGCAGCGTCTCCCGGGACTCCACCGCCCCAGCCCCAGGAACAGCCTCACTCTTGCTTCTCTGGAGTACGAACCCCCAGGGCTGGGAGGCCGAGCGCTTTAATCCCTTTACCTCCTGGGATTTGAAGATGGCCCTCGAGTGTCTGGGGGTGAACCTGGAATAAATGTGGAGACCCCTCCCGAACTCTGACTGCACAGAACAGACTGGGGACCAGAAAGAGCTGCCAGCTCGCCTCTGGCTGTGCAGGATGAGCAACAGAAGCAGCGCTCAGACCCAGACCTCGGGGCCCCCATCGCTGGCCTCGGGGGAGTGGGTCAGCAGGACGCCTTCCCTATGGGAGCAGGGGTAGCTGCCCTGCCCACCCGGGTACCAGCTCTCCGGAAGGGGCTCCCTGCCTTCTGAGAGAGAGGCGGCAGGTGCGCCAATGCCAAGGGCCGTGTCAGGACCACCGCCATCAGCAGCCCAGGCTAGAAGCCATGGTTCCCAGCTGCCCTGGGCCTCTGCCTCCCGGGCTCCAGGGACTTCTGCAGAGGCCT